CCTAGATGGTAATGCATAAAATTAAATAAGTGACAGTGTGACACAATTTCACTTTTATAAAAAAATGATTTTGTTTGTCAAAAAAGTGACCAAAAAACCAAAAAAATTACAGAAAATAATGACAACACTATAAAAAGTGATTGAAACTCAAAAAAAGTGACAGAACATAGAAAATGCAATAGCCAGTTAGCAATCAAGAACATGAGGCGAAAAATGGAAAACAAATATTTCCCCATTTAGATTCATAACATTAATTGTACGGAAAATGAAGAACACGTTGTAAAGTATCAGAACTCAAATATAATTCATAACCAAAAAAATCTTACAAAGCATATGTAGTTCTACAAGTGGATTTTCTATCCAAGATTACAAGTTCTGTGTAATTCCAAAGCTAAGGAAAAGTAAGGACCAACATACTGTTAAACTTTGCAGTAAAAATGCAGAAAATAGCGTCTCTATAAAAGCTGAAACATCCTGCTCATCCATAGAAATAGTTTACCTTTCCTAAAAACATTCTATTATAACCTAGAGGTAGTGGTGGATTTTTTCACAATATTCATTCACAACCTTCTCCCAATTCTATCTCTAGGTTATAATAGAAAACAAAAGTGTAAAAGTTTCTTTTTGTACTAGATTTGAATTTCAAGGAAGCCATTGGCTGCATTTCCTTGTTTCTCTGCTTGTCTTGCTTTGATCTTGCTCTTTCCTTTTTTCCCCACTTCAATTGGCCTCCTTGCTTCTCTTCATAACAAGTCAACATGGCTGAACGACCATTAGTTACTCATATATGATATAGCAATCCTAAATAAGCAATAAGCAGAAAATTGGGACTGCAAGTAGGGACTCAAATAGGGACGCAGAGGACATATGGAGGAACATAGGCTTGAATATACGTCCCCCTAATTTGTCATACAATTCATGCAAATGGAGATATACAATGACATGTGAGTGTTTATGTGCGTATAATCTATGTATCATACAAATATCATGACATAATTAACACAAAAATGTATCTAGAACAATTAATCGAACACTTGATATGCACAGTAATTGAAATAAGTAAAATTAAAAAAAAGTGACACAATGTCACTTTTTAAAGTTATGCACAGTAATTGAAATAAGTAAAACAAAATAAAAAAAGTGACACAATGTCACTTTTTAAAGTTAAGTGTTTATGTGTGTATATTCTATGTATCATACTAAAATCATGGCATGATTAACACAAAAATGCATTTAAGGCTATTAATCGAACACTTGATATGCACAGTAATTGAAATGAGTAAAACCATATATGCTTTTGATAGCAACCAAACAAAGGATTTGAACTAACTTTGGCATAACAATCGAACATTCATCTTGGCCAACACGTTTATATGCAATGATGAAGCATTAGAATTAACAATAAAATTTTCAAAATAATGCCTTATTAATCAATTAATTATCTTATAATAGCTTCAAATCAAAAGGTCAATGCACAACCAATTTGACATAGTTTTGCCCCGGGCGGGAACGTTCCATTCTCCCGCTGCTCGTTTCACTTTCCAACCTACGATAACTAAAAGGTCAACGAAAATGAACAATCAATGTCTAATTACAAATAAATTTACATAAAATTAGTAGTAGACCAAAGAAAAAGAAAAATAAGGAATAGAAAAACAGAAAAGCTCCAACCTGTGGAGTAATAGCAAACAATACATTTACATTATTCAACCCCAAGAATAAAGGATGAGATCCAATGGTAGACCACTCAGTTGTTAGTTGAAAGCATTTCGTGGGTTCAAGATCATATCAGTACATACTATTGTAGTATTACAACCACGTTAAATCATAACCCATAAGAAATGAATCCAGTCCTAAAAATGGAAAGAAAAGAAGAAGAAGAGCAATGTCGACAAAATGTTCGTCTTCCTCAGTCCATTGATAGTAGCAGCGCCAATTTCAATATGAGTTCCG